ATAAAACAATATTTTGCAATTTAATTTTGAATCTGCTAAACCGAATGATTTGAAATCTTGCAGATGTTTGAAGGGTATAAAGAGCATAATAAATTTTTAGTCAAAATATATTTGCTTCTCCCCCCTAAAAAATTGATGACGTCAACCCAAAATTTTGCCGAATAAATCATATCTAAAATATACAAAATACGATAAGTCTGTACTTGTAATTTATCATTCCATTAATATTTTTTGGATTTGCGTATACAGGGTGACTAAAAAAAATATCATTGTATTTCAGAAGCGAGAGAAGTTCTGTCGAAACTTTCGACTAATTTTTTTTTTAATTGTTTTTAATAAATATTAATAAATACAACTATCGATGCAATCTTCTCGAGATATTTGACCAAAATTGAATCTCAAACGAATGTATTATATGTACTTCAGTTATCATAAAGTAATCATTTCTATGACTGAATCCCTTCTAAAAAAATGATTACGTCATCTAAACATTTGCCGAATAAATATTGTCTAAAATGTGTAAAATATTATTAGTCTATACTTGTGATTTGTCTGTGCATTTAATTATACAGGTTGACTAAAAAAAATGAGGCAATTTATTTTAATGATCAAATTAAGATCGGCTCATCCTATTTTCCCGAAACATTAAGTATACAGTAATGTTATTGTTAGTATTACAGTGCACGTATTCAAATTGATATTGTACGTGACCTTGTTGAAATGTTGATGACGTCATCATACATTTTTTTTATAGAAAAACTCACTTGAAACATATCCATTATCTGTATTTTAAGAGTTCAAATATATATGTATTATACCTTCTGGAGGTTATAAAAAAAATCAAATTTACAAAATTAAATTTTATCATTTTCGTAGAAGCTGTACTTTTTCGACCGTATTCAGGAACGAGGGAAGTTCTTTTCGAATAACCGTAGATACATTTTTAGTTTTACTTCTCGACCGTAAACCAAGGAAGTACTGAAAAAATAGGTCTCCCGTTTCCGTCTCTTTACGGGTCCATATTTATTAGGTAACTGATTGCTATCATAATTATTTTATATGTTTCTTATGAATACCGTGAAGTTGATAAAACGCTAACCAAAATTTGTCTAAGCAACAATGTGATGACGTCGGGTCAAAATTTTATGTAAATGTCATTTTTTTTATAAACCAAGATACTCCTTCAATAGCGGTTTATCAATCCTCCTTGATTTTTTACTTTAGACATTTAGATTTTTGAAAAAAAAAACAAAATTGTACAAAAACATTGTACAGTTTAACTTCGAAACTGCAAAACCGGACACTCTGAAAGCTTTTAAAACGTTTTAAGACTTTTAAGATTATCGTAAGTATGGTAAATCGTTAATTAAAAAAATATGGGTTTATACCCTTCCAAAAAATTGATGACCTCATCTCAACATTTTGTCGAATAAATCGTATTTAAAATGTGTAAAATTGCCATTTTCTCGAAAATTTACGTATAGAATATTGTTGTTATTGGTATTACATTGCATATATCCAAACTGTTGTACCTTTCTTTGCTAAAATGTTGATGACATGTTTATTTAACTGTTTATTTTAACACGATAGACCCTTTATTGTACGGGTTATCATTATAAAAATTAATTTCGCGAAATTAATAAATTTCACAATTTGATTACAAATCCCGCACCTTTGAAAAATAAAAAAAAGTTATTGCAAACTTTTATTTGTGATAACTGATAACTAGACAGCGGATTTCTGTCGGGGTATGTCACGATTATAGGTGGGGACGCGCTGGATCGCCGGGACTCAGTAGCGGGTAATAATCAGTGAATTTAATCGTCACTTATTCCATAAATACAATTAAGGAAAACTTAATTAGTCAAACCGCTAAGTAAATGAGAACGAGAATTAACAGCAGAGTGTAACGAAGCAGCGTTATTCTAATCTCAAATAAACGAAATGCAGCCCGTAACTGCAATGAATTCCCATCCCGTACCAGCCGTACCGAGTTTGGCCTTGCCTAGCCCGACAGAAATCCACTCTCTACAGTGATAACCCCTATAAATTAGAATAAATATAGATAGGTAACACCAATAACTGTAGAAGAAGGCAAATGACATCCTATAATTTTTTTGACACTGTACAATTTTCTTTTGTTTGTCTACGACATCCCACTTACTTTTTAATGAGATAGACGTTATATATTTTTTTAGAGATTCTTGTAGAGCTTGTTTTTCTGAATGCATTAGTGTACCATACTTTAATCACCATACTGTCTAGCATTATGTTACGAAAACACACTTGTTTGTATTTGGTTGGAACTCTGTGGTGTCCGGATTAATAATTGCTCCAAAAATATGAATGCATTAATAAAGGGCAAGACAGTATTTCACCTAGGGCATGTATGTCAGTTCCGACACATGTAGTGTATTATTAATAATAAAACACTGGAGTGTACATTTTAGAGATGTGATCAATAAAAAAATATAATAAATAATAGCAGTAATAGTGCAAAAAACAAAACCCCATGTAACATCCGAACGCGAACACTGCGGTATAACCTACCGCATAACCTTGTAAAATCTCCGCACATACTGACGTAAATTGTTCCCATACAATTTCGATTTTTTTGCGAAACATTTGGGGTCATACACATCGAGAAAATATGAAAGCAGCCAGTCGCCTGATGGAGTCTATTACAATACTTCCTTACGCTCGGGAATAAAAACACTTAAATTTTAAAGTGTTAGTTCAAAAACGTTCTGGGCAATACTAATAACTAATAATACTGTCAATCCTAACGCAAGGAAAAGAAACGGAATCTCGGTACACTACCAGCACCATTTTTATGTATGATTTATCTGCGTTAAGAAATGTAAATTTCATGTAAAAAACTGGTCGAACGTTATTTAGACAGAACTTCTGAAGACGAGTCAAACAAATACAACATGTTCGAAAAATCATAAAATTTATTTTTGCCAATTTTATTTTTTTATGATAACCTCTATAAATTAAAATAAAGGTATGTGTGGATGGTTAAAGTATAGGTAAAGGAGCAAAGACACGTATATCAATTTTGACAGGTGCGGTATAACCATATTGTACACTCAAAATTTCCGGAAAAATGATCCATGCGATGAGTAAATTAAATTGCCTCATTTATTAATTTTTTGAGTCACCTTGCATAAGTGATCTAAACAAAAATTAATGCACTGACAAACTACGTACAAACGGATAATAGTTTCCATATTTTAGGCTGGATTCATTTGGAAAAATTTTGAGACGACGCCATCAGTTTTTTGGGTGGGGAAAAACAAATAAATTTTGATAAAGGATTTACCAAATTTACGATTACCTTAAAAGATTTGCAAGATTTCAGAGCATTCGGTTTTTGCAGCTTCAAAATTAAATTGCAAAATGGTGTTATACAATTTTGATTTTTTTTTCGATAAATCTAGATGTTAAAGGGAAAAACTCAACACAGATTCATAAAACACAAGTGCCGGAATATGTTATTTTATAAAATTTAAATAACATTTATTCTGTTGTAAATTTTGGAGATGATGCCAACCCGTTGTTGGTCGGGATGGTTAGAATAATTTTGGTTAACGTTCTACCATCTATACGATATTTCTAAAATAAACATAAAATTTAATAACAATTGGTTCAGCAGTTTCAGAGATAGGAGATGGTCAGAGAGATAGATAAACAGAAGTTTCGTACTCTAGGGGTCACCAAACGTCTAGAAAACAAGAAAGTAATCATGCGTCGGATGGACACTATTAACATTATTACAATAGGTACTTCCTCGTTGATACTGTTGTCTGAAACTTCTCTCATGCACATCTTCTAATCTCTGATTTTAATTTCTGAGGTAACCCTTATATGTGGAGTTAAAAATAGAGATTAATTTGTTATGTACTTACAGAAGAGTAGGTTGTGATGTATGTACATTTAAGATGAGATTAAATTATTAATATTCTGACGTGTCTTAAAGTAATAATTTTAGTCTTAGACGTAGGTACACATTATTCTATGAAAAAATCCTCCTGAAAATTGCGTGAATGTTTTTTTTAACACTAACATCAGTTTATGAATTACAGAAAAACAAACAAAATTTATTTGTTTACTTCCAGTAGTGGTTGAAAAGCAATCAATTGTTTTCAGTTGTATAATTATGTACCCACTTGCTTTTCGAGCGCAAAAGGCCACTGTGAGGAATGTCTGACTGCATGTTTCTCGACGTGTCACAACTTGTAGATATGACAATATCAGTTTCTCGTTTTCGTCTGCCTGTATATCTGCTCATTCCCTGCAAAAACTTGATGACATCATTTTAGACTTTTGTTAAGTAAATCCAGTTTGAATTTTATATTGTGACATGCGTAAAAAGATGCCGCCTTGTAAAATAATAATCTATAATAATTTGTTTGCGTTTTTACACATGGAATTTTGATGGAAAGTATTCACTTTCAAATAAGTACTCTTTTTCTTTTTCTTTCAAATTTTATTTGAGATCTATTTAAATATTAGCAACTTTTTAGTACTGATAAAAAATATTCAAAACATTGGAATACGAAATTTTACACAAACAACGCTTGTTCCGAAGGCATGTTATGTATCGATTTTTTTACAACATATTTTGCTGATTACATGAAGTATTGTACTTGCTGTATAATTAACACAGTCTTCGTATTATGATTACTAATGAAACGAATAGCCACAATAACTTTGTAGCGCGAAAGGATGAGACAGATATACCGTATCAATACATAACTATGTAGTATATAATTATTTATTTATGTGTAAATTTAAAATAAAGCCAGGCCACTGATGAAAACTGTCTTGATGAAGACGTTGATTATTAAATTTTTGCAAGAAAAAATAACGACGTTTGAAGAAAAACCCTCCAAGTTTTGGAATATTTAGCACAAACGCCCATGAATAACAGGTGAGCGCAAGCGCTCTGGTGCCGACAGAGTTAGGGTGGGGTGAGCAACTAGCTTCAGTTTTTGAACAAGTCTTATAACGCGGTTGTTGTGTTGAAGAGTGTTTCGTAGGCTGGCTAAAGTTTGTGGTACCGGTGGTGTGTTCAGTTATAAATAAACATTAATTATCTTATCTAAATTACTTTAAATACAAGTCAGGTTCGAGTTTGGGCCAACAGAAAAGCGTACAACGAAGAATAAGGCAACATTCTGGATCCAACAGATTCTAACCTAAATAGTTCTCGCAGATGCAGTGAAGTTCAAACCAGTGTATTGTGTACGTACAGCTTGTTTTAGGAATTGTGAGGAACTAGTGAACAGAACAGTGGTTCTGAACAAAATTACACAACTTAGTGATTAATAACGAAATTTTTATAAAAAGAAAAAAACTGGATGTAACCTTAAAGTGTAATGTGTGTAAGTGGGTTGCACTGAGTTTCACTTCCTTTGGGGAATGGATATTATATAGGTAAATGAAACGATATGTATAAATATATCTACGATTCTGTTAAGTTCGTTGTTGAATGTAAGTGGAGAAACGAAGCTGTTCAATGTTGGTGTCGCAGACCACAGTTGCATTCCATAACAGTATCTACGACTTACAATAACGTTGGTCTAGATTTTTGCATCTGTTGTATTTATTAGTGTTTTCCCAAAATTCTCCAACTATATTGATTTTCCGTACATTATTCGTTTACTCGTTCTGTTCAACAATGCAAACATTCGAGATACATACTCCGTTATTGTCTGCAAAATAATCCGATCGACACATTCAGATGATTAAATTCATAAAGAATGTAAACATATGTTTCGTGTACCGGGAGCCCCCTCTCCCGGATTGTACTATTCACCGGTAAATGTGACTGTACTCATTCTTTGTCATTCATCCAAGTACATCCCTCCCAACAATTATGGACTTCGCACGTATACACTACAAAACCACATTTCGGCAACTTCACTCGTTACGCCTCCGTCGATCATCTTATTAGTTCAAAATGATTTCTTACGCAATTAAACCGATTTCGCATTATTTGTTTTAAAATAAATAACACGCGACCATTGTTTTCACCGTGCAAGTATATTTTTGTAAACTACATAAATAATCCATTAAAATGTTGCTTCAGCTGAACGCATTAAAATCATTAAATGTACGTACTCTCGTAATTTTGCATTTAGCTGGCAGAAATGGTGATATTGGACTGACGGACTAAATGTTTTAACTTTGTAGTTTTTTTTTTGGTCAAACGAGAAATTTTTGAATGGTTTGTTAATCGTGACGTAAAAAAGAGTACAGAATGGAGAACTTACAAAAGCGCAACTTACAACAGCCAATCATCGCAACGGAAAATGGCGCCATAATTACAACTTCGAAAATGTGGACCTAAACGAATTTTCTTATACGCAACAGTTTGCGTAACTTATGACACTTTTTTTTTATGCATGAAAAGTCATCATTTTAAGAAACTAGCCAATTTTAACAAATTGTATTGTCAAAAGTTTGTCTTTGGGATAAATGTTTAATAGTATGTTTCGTTTTCTTTTAGTGAACAATTTAAAATAACCTGTATGAAATAGAGGAGTTGGTAGTTGAACTGCCATTTAACCATTAGAATTGGCGAATATTAATAATGGCTAAAAAGAGTGACTTTGAAAATAGACCTAATAGAGTAGACGCTGATCACACATCAACTGTTTTTATTGTTTCGTGTTAAGAGTTTAGACGCTAAGACGGTGAACATTACAGCTAACGCAAAAAGAAAAAAAATCAAGTATTCAAGACAATAGTTTCCTATAAGCGAAAGGAATTTATGCATGTAGGTATGTTAAAAAAAAAAAATAAATAAAATCGTTCCTTTTGGAGAATTTGTTATACTTGGAAGTATATGCCTTTCGACAAAATCCATAATAAACAAAAAGTAAAACACTGAACCTGTCATTCCAATGAGAAATTGTTGTTAATTTTTATTGGGTTTTTCAATTGTATTTCTATATCAGTTTTACTTCTAGTAGAAACTGGTCACGTATTCTTTTATTTGAGCACAGTGACCTTAAAAGAGTTGCTAAGGAAATAAATATCTGCTGGTGTACTGGTATTTTAGACATGAGAAAACGTGTTATTTAGAAATTAACTTGAAAATTTTTACATTTTTGCGCGAATTATGTGATTATACAGTGAATAGAGAAAATAATACTTCATTTTTTTTAAACCGTAACTTTTGGATGAGAACACAGGAAAATGCAGCTTCGTTCTTGGACACCAACAAAATGTTCTTGCATGGATCTTGACGGTTTGTGTATTTTTGAATTTTGAAGGCGTTGTTAAAGGTAAGGGCTAATGGAGGATATATTGTATCTTTTTTTACTTGTTTCGACAATTGTCACGCCACCCTAATGGGCAGTTACTCTAATCTAAAGTATGAAATTAGTTTACTCGGATTTTTTTTCGAAATGTTTCCACAACCAATGATTTTAATGAAGGTGTAATGTTGGATTTACGTATCCAGTTTTTTAGTTGACTCTAAACTAATTCGATCAGCTTTAGAGCACAGGGACACGGATGAAGTCACAAGCTAGTGTGACCATATTTATTGTTTTGCCATAGTGTCCCCTGAGTAAGATATTTGTCTAGTCCTATCCAGTATTTTCAGAAAATTGCAAAAGTAACCACAATATAATCACTTGCATAAGTATTTATTAAAAATAATAATAATAATAATAGTCGCTAATGTTCATTCTTTTTATAAGAAACAAATTGTTTAAATTGATACTTGTACATAAAACATGAGTAAAATATATTTTTTTTCTGACCCTATTTTCGCTTGACTCATCTTCATCTCGCTCCTGTGCAAATGTTTATTCATAAATATGGATATGATGGGTATACAGTTTCGTGTAATTTGTAGTCCTTTTCACTTAAAAGATCCTTTTCGTCCCTCTTCTTTCGTTTCTTTTCTTCATAACTTCTGGTGCGTTTTCGCCCGTTCTACTACTTTTTTCCCCACCTTTCTGTCCTTTACATTCTGTCCTATGTCATGTCTATCAATTTTTTATTCAATTTTTCTTAAATTCTCTTCCATCTTAGTTTTGGTCTTTCCTTTGTTTTTTCCCCGGCGGCATCCACTCTGTAATTATTTTAATCAGATTTTCCTTCTCTCTGCTCTTTATGTGCCCATACCACCTTATTCTCTGGGCTTTTATTACTTTGACTATGTTCTCGTGTTCCATTCATTCTTGTATTTCGTGATTCATCCGGGATCTGCTTTCTTCTTTATTATCTTCGGTCCCACTATCATTCTTATTCTTTTTAAATATATTGTGATTATTGATAGAAGTTCGTACTTTTTTGGACTTAAAAGTTAAGTCTGCTTTTTTGCGAGGATAGATTTAAATTGCAATCGAAGCTTACTTGTATGCATCTGGAGCGGGAGATTCTGGACCACTTGAAAGTTACCCGCTGTAGTCCACCCTCTGGTAATAACGTCCACGTAACGAATTGCCATTTCATGTTTTCAAGATGTTTAAAGCCAGTCGCTGCCTTTAGCTCTTGTGGAGTATACAATACATTTTTAATGTGATATCTCCACTATTAACAGACTTCCTGTTATGAAATTTTAAATATAATTTGTTCACAACTGAGGCAGTTTTTTTAACAGTTTATCATAACCGTAAAATTTTGCAGAAATTTTTCATAACTTATGTATTTTTAAAATTCAATATCTCAATTATTTATGGAAACTTCAATTCGCGGTTTTCACCACCGTTTTTAGCCTGCAAAACTCCACGCGGGTAGGTTCGAAAGAAAAATCTGAATAAAAAAAAACATTTTTTTTTTAATAACAAAACTTTGCTCTTTAACTTAGAAAGTACAAAACGGATTACTGCGAATTCGAACGTATTAAAATTAACGTGAACATGGGGATGTCACAAAATTTTACAAAATAAATTTCATTGAAATGCGGTTTTTTTAATTTCTACTTATTTTTTTAGAGTATCTGAAAAGGATTAATGAATGAAGCAGTTAATTTTACCGATTAAATAAAAAACGGTGTATCTAATATTTCCGACATTATGGAAACAATATTGTTGCTTTTATACTAGAATCGCCGAATAGATGCAGTAATAACATCCTGCGAATAATGAACATAGCGTTTAAATTGGTTAGAAAACACTTGTTGTGGGGGTTTTAGTAAAACTATTCATTCGATCCTCACGAGATCAGTGCATGCGATTCTAGTATGTTATAACAATGGCTGATATGGATAAAATTAAGTATTTACTAAAACCTTTTAAGCAAAAGCAAATGGTCGGCAGTAAATACTAAAAGTAGAAGTTTTACTACTGAGTAAACACTTCTGGTTTTTCCCTTAAATACTTGAATTTTTATAAAACTGAGTTGCCATAAACCGGATAACTACTGTCTTCCATAAAATTGATTATTCTGTCATCGAAAAGACCATACGGGTTTGAAGTTCATGATTTTTTGTTCAACAAGTCACAGATGATAAATGTAAGAGACAAAAAAAGAAGCTTTAAATCAATTTTAGAAAGAATGCATGACAAATTTTGAGCAAGGTATATCAGACAGCAAAGTCTTGAAGAAAATGAATAAGATGAAAACGGAATTAAAAGAGAAAACAGATGGTAAACGAACGGGAGACAAGAAAATTGTTCTAAAGTCTTGAGAAGAATCGGTTTCTAAATCTGCTGGATGGTAGCAACAGAGAGAATCCGGCATTACATATTACACCAAAGGTGTAGATAAGTTTCATAAATAGTTCTTAAAATAATCTGTTGTACCATTCATCCCTACGTTGTTCTATACCTGGAATTTTATTATTGTTGTCATTGCTGTTTTCGACAATGTCTTTGTCTTCTTCAGGTAAAATGTGAGAAAAAATATTTTTATGGTTTAAACATTTCGAGACATGCTGAACGAAAAACATGAAACTGGTATGTTTGATATGTACCCTTCCGAGATGAACTCATTAAAATTGGAAGCGTTTTTATAATTGTCCAAAACATATTTCAATGACGACTCTATTTTTCTTGTGTACTTTATTAAAATATTGTTCCACAGGGTTTTTTTTGGATATCTATAAGGTGTTGTCAACTAAAGGGCAATTCATGCGGTTAAATTACGTAAGTTTACTAAAAAGCAGCTTGAAATGTTACAAATTGTTACTTATCATTTCAAGTAAAAATTTTTTTTATGCATAAAGGACTGGGTATTTACTGGAAAATTAAGCAAAAACTCGAAAATGTTTGAACTAGTTAGCATTATGTCTATATTTGTAAGTTAAACCTTTTTTTTATGCATATGAAAACCAGTAGTACTTGAAAATTTCACTATAAAGTATTTACTAAATTTATGCATATTAGCCATTGTGCTGCTATACATACTGAAATATTTACCTCTGCTGTGTTGATGCCGTTACACAAAATGTTATGTAACTCTCACTTTAAACGTACAATATCGAATGCTACTTTACCTGTAGTTTGATAATCCACCTCTATTTTAATTTTAATAGTTTAATTATAATCGGGGTATTCATCAATTCGCATAATCAAATTTTATAATTTTTCGGAAAAGCTGAAGTATGTGTTTTATTGTACTTCAGGGGCGAAAGAAGTTCTGTCTAAATAACTTTGGACCATTTTTTTAATCTGTGTCTAAAGGCGTGGGTCACTCCGTACGTAAGTATGCGTTATAGCTTATTCCAGTTGACTGAACTCTTGAGGCTTGCTGTCTGTGAACCTGTATTTAAAGTGCAACTGAGAAGTAATTGTTACACAATAAATGCTTGACCGATCGAAGATCTTTCGTATTTGGTGTTGAGCTGTATGTACGCAAAACAAGAAGGCAATTATTATTTTCATATTAGTAACAAATTGTATCAGTTTAACGAACAATAAAACATTGGTTAAGATAATACCGAGTTCACGTGGGTATGCATACTATAGTCACATGTTTAAGTTCAGTTGAGAATCTAGCACTCGTTGAAGCAGATCATTATGTAAAATTGATCGACGACGATATATTTATTTATATATATGTATATAAATAAAACGTTTAAAATATATGTATATAGCTTAAATGGTTATGGATATATAGAAATGGCACATTTACGGCCAGTTTGTAAAAAAAATAATTTAATCTGATGATTAACTTTTCGTGCGATGAAATTTAACGAATCAGGACATTTCCTTGAATTTCGTTAAATCGTATCGAGTCAATAATAATGAATAATTTGGTTCTTTTGAGTGTAGTGTTTATGCGGGGAGAGAGGGGTGATCGAACTTGGTATTTGGATAGGTCGCAACTTACTTGTTTTTGTATTAAATATATTGTTTGTTTTCTTTTAAAATTCACTAGTCCTATTTAATGGAGAAACATCATCGCAGGTTTTACGAATGTCGTTTAGCGGTATATACCTAGGTATTATAGTTTGGAGACTACATGACTACCATTCAATGTGTTTGTTTAAGGAGGAGGAGGGGGGGGGGGGGGGTTTGTTCAATCAAAATATGATTATAGGTACGGTTAAGTAGTAAGCGTTAATTGCGTTTTAAGGGTTGGCAGTTTTTTCTGGTGTTGATCGTTATAAGGAGTGAGTAAGTAAAATCGATGGGTTGCTGTTAATAAGTAAGGTTTGTCGGTAGACGTTAGTGTGCCGCGTTAATGAAAAATGACAATCGACTAATGCAATGTGTGTTTCAGGTCCCATGCCTTGAAGTTCCTGGAGAGCCAGTGCCGCTATGAAGCGGCCGCTTTTCACATTATTCGTGGCTCTGGCCGCCACAGCGTTGACGGCAGCCGCTTCATCGAGCAACGACATTATCAAAACTTTTACCGATCCAAAGGTGCAAGCATTCAACCATCTTGTCGTGGATAAAAATACAGGGCGTGTATATATCGGTGCCGTGAACCGTCTATATCAATTATCACCAGATCTAGACTTAGTTATCTCTGTAGAAACGGGACCAGAGATGGATTCAGATGACTGTTCGGTTCTGGAATGTACGTCTGCGTTTAGTAAAAAATTAACCGATAACGTAAACAAGGCACTAGTTATCGACTACACCACAACGCGACTAATCTCTTGTGGAAGCCTGTTCCAAGGAATATGTTCGGTTAGAAATCTCGACAACATATCAGAAGGAGTTCGAGAAGTGCGAGAGGCGGTCGTTGCCAACAATGCAACTGCTTCCACGGTGGCATTCATAGCTCCTGGACCACCGAATCCTCCAGTTTCGCAAGTGATGTATGTGGGTGTAACGTTTACATTAGGTTCGCCATATCGGTCCGAGGTGCCCGCTGTTAGTAGCCGCTCTTTGGATAAGGATAAAATGTTCACAATTGCTCAAACTGCTGTGACCACAGGAACAAGAATGTTTGTCAATTCATTAGCTAGGGAACGTTATCCAATAACCTACGTTTACGGTTTTGCCTCCGAAGGGTTCAGTTATTTTTTAACAACTCAGATGCGTCACACCGGTTCCAATCAGTTTATAAGCAAGCTAGTGCGTGTATGTCACGATGACGAAAACTATTATTCCTACACGGAGATTCCTATGGATTGCATCAGCGAGGCGCAAGGTGGCCGCAAATACAACCTAGTGCAAGCCGCCTACGTGGGGAAGGCCGGGTCGGATTTGGCCGCGGACTTGGGTATCACCGCTCAGGATGATGTGTTATTCGGAGTGTTTAGTGAAGGTGACCCCCAGATCGCGAACAAACCCTCCGATTTATCCGCATTGTGCGTTTACCCGCTGAAAGCCATCAGGCGAAAGTTTATGCAGAATATCAAGCATTGTTTCAGTGGCAAGGGTCAGCGTGGCTTGGACTTCATTTCGCCGAGCCTTCAATGTGTGCCTACGGTGAGTACAATATATATTACGTATACGAATATACATCTGCGATTTGCGCACCCCCATGGCGGCGAAGCGGCACTGCCGCTCCCGGTATTGATCGGCCGTCGCCGGGACCTCGCTATGCTAGACCCTGACTGACGTCTCGCACCAAACGCTAAATTCTTACTATTCCTTCACCTTCGTCCTTCGATCATTCATCTGTTTATCAAAGAAGACATATTGTACTCTGCGTCGACCCCGAAAGCACTGTTGCTCCCTCATTTCCAGTCCGGAATCAGTCTAATAACTCCATTCTTCACAAAGGAAATGTTAAATACGGAAACGCATGCTTTTTTATTTACTATTTTTCACATTTCTTTTGATGTCTTCCACCAAACCACACCTCCAATTGTCTTTTACATTCGACACGGAATCTCTTAGATTGATGATCTCAATAACACAAGTATCTTCAAATTTTTGTATCGAAATTTTGTCTTTACCATCTAACTGGTTTTTTCTTCAGTAATATTTTGTATTTGTGCTATGTAACAGAGAACGGATACAAATACTGAAATCTTGTAAAGCCATTGCTTTTAACTAGCGTCGCGACACAGACTTATATTTTTTTAAATATAAATGAAATTATTGTTATTACAATGCTATAAAACACTTTGGTGTTTATTTATATATATGTATATATATAGATGTAAAAAAAAAATCGGGTTGAATGAAATACAGAACTACCACTTTATTTTACAAACTAGTGTGGTCTGTCTCAGAACGAATTTATTTAAGTATATATGTATTTGAACTGTCGTCTTTCACACTGAATACAAAACTTCTTATTATGTAGTTCACAACTTGCCGACGTTAATAGAGTATCACGCGTTACAGAGGCACAAACACTCCTAATTCGATTTTTACTCCGTTAGCGTAAGTTATGGAAGCATTGTAATAGGGTCCATTCGACGAATGGCTACTTTCATGTTTTCTGAACGTTACAGGACGCGTAGAGTACGAAACAATGGGTCTCTCGTTTCCGTTTGTTTGCTCCGAAAATTACCTTTGAAACTGCAAAACCGAATGCTCTAAATTCTTGCAAACGTTTCAAGATAAACCGTTAATCAAAATTTATCCGTTAATCTCCTCCCGAAATATTGATGACGTCTTCTCAAAATTTTGTCGAATAAATCTAAAATATGTAAAATGTTCTGAATGTGTACTCGTGATTTATGAATGCATTCATATTTTTTAAAATACAGGGTGAATGATGCAGTACATTTTATTGACCAAATGAACGGCTGGTCCCATTATTTCGAAAATTTGTGTGTACAGTACTGTTATTATTAGTATTACACTGCACTTATTCAAATTGATATCTGTCCTTGATGGAGTGTTAATGACGTCATCACAAAATTTTGTTATAGAAAAACTCACTTGAAATGCACATGCTCTTTTACATATACATTAAAAAATTCTTACATATCAATTTTTACAAGAATCTGTATTTGTTCGCCTGCATTTCAGGGGTGAGGGAAGTTCTCTCTAAACAACTTGACCAATTTTTACTTTCCGAGTGTAAGCTAAGGAAATATAGTAATTGAATCCATCAGATGAATGGCACTTTTATGTTTTCTTGACGTTTTATGTCCCCTAGAGTACGAAAAAGTACTCTCCCGTTTCCTATACTTGTGATTTATCATTGCATTCATAGTTTTTAGATTTGCTTATACAGGATGATTAAAAAAAATAATGAACGAGTCTAGATATTTACTTGATTAAATGAGGAACTGCATAACCGAATGCTTTGAAATCTTGCAGAGGCTTTTAAGTTATCACAGACATGGTAATTGTTTAATCAAAATATCTCTGTTTACCCGTCCCCCTCCCCATATTGATGACGGAACCTCAAAATATTGCCGAATAAATCCTATCTAAAATCTGCAAAATATGATAAGTCTCCTATACTCGTGATTGCATTCAAAACATTTTATTGATTAAATCAGCAACGTTACATACACATCGTTATATTCAGGGAAGTGCTGTCGAAGTAACCTTCGATCAGTTTTTTATTGGTCAAATTAAGAACGAGTCACCTCATTTTTCGAAAATGTGAGATACTGTATATTACGCCCGTCTATTTTTAATAATGGTAAAATAACAATTATATTAATAATATTGAGAACATTTTGCTCTATTGTGGGTTAATTAATAATTTTAATCCTGTTTTGAGGAGATAAAGTCATTCAAATCAAACAAATTGCGACGTGTCAGTCGTGACATTCTTTCGATCCATAAGCATAAACAGTCGAAGTTAAACATGTATAATGATAATATACTTTTTCCCGTTAGTTATCTGCTTCCAATATACATATTTGATATTGTTTTGTATTTTATAAAGATTATCACAAAACAAAAAAGGAAAATCGCAAAATCGAATTTGTTTTATATTTTAAAGAAACGGGATTTGTTGTACTGTTGTACTTCAAAGGTGAGGGAAGCCAAAATAACCTTCCACATTTTTTTTTCTTCCCGAGCGGACGTTAAAGAACTATTGTAATGGGGTCCATCCGGGGAATGGTTACTTCATGTGTGTTCTTATTTTATAGAGGTTAACACAAAACAAAATTGCAAAATCAAATTTTACAATTTTTCAAAAAGTGGAAATTTTTGGACTGTATTTCAAGGCAAGACGCTTATTGTTCTATACCAGTATCGGCCGGAAAGCGTTTCTTCATATGAGTTTATATTTAAATCGGCCGCCGTATGTGTTCATATATTTAAGTTAAAAATTATTGCAGAATATATTGTTCGAAAGTGCTGCATATTGTGCGGTCTTCGTCAATTACTAGATTATTACAATTAACAAGACTATTTAAAATTGTAAACTTTCTTTTTGATCACATTCTGGGCGGTTTGCTATTTCTCTTTCATTTTATTTTCCCTGTAATATACTGCTCGTTCTTTGAGAGTGATCTCGTAAAAAGTTCTATTTCCATGGAACATTATTTTCCTTATTTATATTTTAAGGTGCATCAATCATGATCTTTTTCATTTGGTGTAACAGCAACCAAATTTTTTTCAAGACGTTGCTGAAGTTTTGCTGCTGCAGTCGTACAAGCACGTGATTTTTAATGCTGAAATATTAGGGCAAGAAAATGGGCTTTTTCAAACTTTTGCAGCACGTCGAGCTCAAGTCAAGAGAAATATTATCAACATCCGGTGTTGGAGAACAAAAATGAAAAATCATATTTTAGTATTCCTGTTTAGACTATGTTTCCCCTTCTTAGAGACACGATATTGTATCAATATTAGCGTAGTAAATAACAAGATAGGTAGAAGTTTTGTATTCGCGGGTTATTCGTATATTTTAAAACAACGTCTTGTCGGAATTATTCATAATTTATTGTAAATGTTAATAGTAGTTTCCGCTGAAATCATAAATTAACACATTTTTGATAGAGTAATTGCGAATTCCCCCAATTATACTACATAAATAAGGTTCAGAAATATACGAATCTAGTGGATCCTATTCGGAGTCGTTTACTCATTGTTCAGAACCACATTAGGGAAAGCATTCTATAGTTTTTCGCACGAGTAATTGCAATCCTTATTTGAAATTGATACATTGTTTTAGCTCTAGAGAAGACAATGTGTTAGTGACATCTTACACAAAATGTATTTTATATATTCTAGGAAAGCTTTAAACACAACCGGCCCAAGCGTAGTAGATGTCATTACGGAGTGTTGCCTGTTCTTTCATGATATATGGACCTACCAGTGGCCAAATAATATAATTGTATAGTATACGTACACGACTGTCATTTTATTTTCGATGTCGACTCCTTTACTGGAGTGAATAGAACGAAAAATCATTTTAATATTTGTTACGTAGTTTAATGATTTTGCCCATTATTAGTTTTTCCAACTTTTTGTTTCCACCACCCATTGCCAGTTTTATTACCGAAATGCTGATAGTTTTCGTAGTTTGGTTTTTCTGTTCAAAACCGGAATTTTCACTCAGTATTTGAATACAAGTGTGATTTAATACTGTGTACGTAAGACTTTGGCTTTGTGTACTAGTCAGGTACAGTCTTCAGTTGGGTGTGGCTGTTTTGTTCTAGGAACACGAACTAAATTTCCATATCAATTTATGTGCGTTTTTGTTTTTTATTATAGTACTCTTATTATTAAAAAAACATGTACCTGTTGCACATCATTCGAGATTTATGTTCGGTATTCCGGCATTTATCAAAATTTCGAGATACGAGAGTCATTTTCATATCCATTTGAAATTGTGGAGGTGTTTTTATCGGTTCGTCGTCACGTAGGACGATTCGGAAATGTTCGGTGTGATCTGTTGATGATTTGCTGTTAAATGTCAGATGTATTCTCTGTAGCAAACATCTATAGTATAATGCGGATGCTGCTGCCACACCCCATTGTTTTAATCTTCGTGTTCAGTATTAAGAACCTCTTTAGTTCTTGTACGTGCACTAAATTAGCGAACTCCAGGAATAAAAAATATACATTATAGAAAGTTGGGAAGATTCGAAGATTTCATAGCTTAACCTACCTAGCGTTAATCAAGAATGCACAGATTATGAACTAATTGAATTCTAATTCCGACACCTTGAAAACTTCTATTGTCGTTCCGTACTGAAATTGTATTCTACAGTTCTATTTTATTCGCTTTGTTTTCTTTATCTATTGACCTCGGCAAAAGACTAAGAACGTGTTTTGCCACATGTGACATACCATTCAAGGACGGTCTTTGCTTCATTCGAACACTGACTTTCAGTTTTATAAAGAGGCTACCAAGTCTAACCGTTAAAATAATCAATATTTCATTTCTATAATTTCAATTACCTTAATTTTTCTTACTCCCACATTTTACATTCTGCTCGTTAGCTAAGGAAAGTGTAGTAGGGTTTAATTTGGCTTTCATTGCTGGTGCAGTTTTCATCTTTCAGATTGTCGACCTTTTGGAAATATTTTAAACGCGTAATGCCAGAAACTATTTAAAT